GAACCATGCGCCTCTGGGATTGTAGTTGCAGCTCCTTGCCACTAGGCCACCAGAGCTCCCCTGGCAATGCGCCTTTTAATTTCCTGGCTGCTGGTTCCAAGACTGTTGACTATGAAATAAAATAGATGTTAAAAAATGGTTTTTAAAGCAGTATTTGTGTTTAACACTTATCTCTTTATCTTTTGTTTAATTATAGCAACTTCATTCCTCCTCACTCCCACTCCCCACAAAAGACATTGGATTTAATTTAGAAGAGCTGGTTTGAGTCTTGATCATGCTCTTAATTATATAAATCAATTTGAGAAAATGATATAATCGATAATAGTTTTCTGTTTCTTCTAAATATGGAAAATGTAGCAGTTCCCAGGGTTATTCTGATGTCAAATGAAATGATTTATGTGAAAGCCCTTTATAGTGATATGATAAGTAAAAACAATGAACATCATGATATGATGGCTAGCTTCATAGCTGTTTCATTCAATTAAGGTAATGACTACTGTTTAATAGAATCATTACCAAATATTAGGAAGATCTTTCTGTAAAACTCAAACCAAACCCACTGCCATCAGTTCCATCAGGTAGAAATCATTATGAGACCAGATCGCTTTGTCTTTCTCCTGGGTGTTGGGTTTGAACCACTGTGTTTTTGGTTAGTAGGCCAACACTTAACTCACTACACCAATTCAATTTGACTTTTTTGGGGCTCCTGGCCAGTATAGATGAGAGTCAACAGAAGACAGCTTCACATTTGTCTCTCTGTGTGTGTGTGTGTGTGTGTGTCTGTGTCTGTGTGTGCGCGCGCGCGTGTGCACACATTTGGATGTGTTTCTCTTTGCTTTCCATAGTGAGTACCTAAGGGAGAAAGACCTTGGTGCCAGCAGTTATTTTCCTCTATTACATTGTTAATGTATAGATTTTGTGCCATAATAATTAGTAATGGTAAACACTTGTCACTTGTTCAGTTGATTCTGACTTGAATGAAATGTTACCTGTGTCCCTAGCCTTCTTCCCAGTTAATTGCTGCCCTGGGAACATTATTGCAGCCACTGTGTCAAACCATCTTAGTCAGGGCTTACCTCCTTTACATTGACTCTCTGCTTTACCAAGTCAGTGGACACTTAAATAATGGTGAGTATGTACCAGACATTCTTCTAAGGCTTTTCTTTTATTAATCTACTCAGTCTTTCAACCACCTGGGGAGGTGGATATTCTCACATTTAAGGATGGAGAGTAAGAGGCACAGAACAATGAATGTGCTCAGGATCACATAGCCAGGGTTACCAGTAACATTTATTTTCCACTTTTTGTTTATTCCTTTACTTATATAAAGAGCCCTGGTGGTGTAGTCTTTAGAGAGTTATAAACTTATAATTTCTTGAACTGTATCGTGCACTGTGCTTCCTCAGTCTTTTTAAACTAAAGCATGCCTCCTCCATTCAGTAAATCCATTCATATATTTAGCCTACTCATTTATTATTTTTTTGGAAATGTCCTTGCCTGTTCATTCTGTTTAACTTGATAGGTAAAAGAGCTACATAGTAAATTTAGAGTGATTTTGGTTAACATAATTAGAAATGTTTTATGACTTAGGTACCATTATTGTGGCAGCTTCGTTGTCTAGCATCTTAGATAAATGAGACTTATGTCTTCATTTTATGATTTAAAATTGACTACACTTTGGTTTTGGTTAATGGAAGGAAAACATCCCCATTGTTCTTATCAATGAAAATTGGATAAGAATGTGCTCCCCTGTGGGAAAGCTCTTCTGTATATGTATTAATTGAATACTTGTTGTAAACCTACCCTGTACACAGGTAATACTGAGGTGAACAAAGAATACATCACCCATAGTCTCATGGAGGTAATAGTACAATGAGAGAAGCCAGCTTTAACTTACAAAAGCCCTCGTATTTTTGCTGTTACCTTGCCTGCAATTCTGTTCCCTAAGTTTGTGCATAGAAAGCAACTCTTCTTTGCTTGAGTACTTGCTCAAATGTTATCTCTTTAGAGAAGCTTTTCCTATCCACTCCCATAGTCTACCATCTGCTAACACCATCTTTGATTCCTTGCTCTACATTTCTTCATGCTTCTTATCCCCATCATTTCTTCATATTATTTATCTTCAGACCAAGAATGGAATGTTCGAATCATTCAGAGACTTTGTCTTTTGTGCTCAATGGTACACACCAACTATTTTGAAAATGGCAGGCACTCAATAAATATTTATGACACAAATGGGCAATTGAGACAATCACACAAAGTGTATAATTACAAATGATGATAAACAAATAAGACAAGTGAAACTGTTTCCCAAACGATAAATATTCCTCACATGCAAGGTGATGATATTTATTTTAATTTTAGAAAGTTAACAATCAAACAGAATATAATCTCTTTATTGCTTTGAGTTATAGCATTCTGTTGAAATATGTGTATCCTGAGTTTTTCTTTCCCTCTGCTTATAATTTTAAATATTGACCTTTATCTTTATGGCTGTGTACCCACCTCATCTGTCCCACCTCAATTATTGTCCAGAGTGAATGTTCTTACCCTAGTTCTGTGGATGTTAGTGAAGTCCATTGTTGGCTCTTGCGCGCTCAGAAATTGTACACAGAATGTATTGTTCATTTGTTTTTTTTTTCCTGGAGAAAGTTCTCATGAATTTAATCAGACTTTTAGAGTGTATACCCTTCCAAGGTTAAGAATAATGCGTTTTCTTTTAAAAAAAATTGCTTTTGTTGCCCCATCTCCTTGAGATGGTTTTATTTTCCTTTTCATTTCCATGATTGTATTTTGGTGTTTTGAAATGTTTACACTTTGATGGTCCCCAGTGTGTGGTATGCTTGGTTGATTGTACGCATCTGATCCCACCCTTTCTCTGAGTCTCTCTTTTGTCTGGCCAACAGTGCAGGGATGTGCCAACTGCAGAGTTGACCTGTCCAGCCCATCTGGGACCTTCACATCCCCATGCTATCCTAACGAATACCCTAACAGCCAGGCTTGCTTGTGGAACCTCCGGGCCCCCATCGGCTACATCATCCAGATAACCTTTCATGACTTCGACATTGAAGAAGCTCCCAACTGCATTTATGACTCACTGTCCCTTGATAACGGAGAGAGCCAGACTAAATTTTGTGGAGCGACTGCCAAAGGCCTATCATTTAACTCAAGTGCGAATGAGATGCATGTGTCCTTTTCAAGTGACTTTAGCATCCAGAAGAAAGGCTTCAATGCCAGCTACACCAGAGGTATGTAAACCAAGAGCGACGCCAACCTTCTGCTTTCATTTAACATGTTCTTTAGTAAACACAAGAACCAGAAGGCAATGTTAGACTCTTTTATGTGAATGTGAATGATTAAGGTTAGGATTTAAGGGCAACAATCTGTTAATATTTTGAGGGCATTCTCAGCAATATATAGTTACCAGATCCAAAATCTGGTTATAGTCGAGCTGCATTCTCTTACAGTGTTTATATGCAAAACATTTAAAGGCTGCTTGAGATGCACAGTAAATACTGATAATAATTAAAATCTGAAGAAATTCTAACATCTCTCCACTGATAATTTAAAACATCCCTATTTAGAAATCCATTTATTTTTGGCTTTGAAGATGTTGACCTTTTTAAGCATGCTAAGGGGCAAATATAGAATATTAGCATGTAAATGAAAATAAAAATAGCTGTTAATAACTTAAGGTGCTCTGGTGGCATAGCCTGTGGAGAGTTTTGCTGCAAACACGAAGGAGGCTTGGTGGTTCAAATCCACCAGTCTCTCTGAGGGAGAAAGATGAGCAGTCTTCTTCCCTACCATTTATGGTCCTGGAATCTGCTGGAGGGTCAGCTAAGAGTTAATTTGTCACTCAGTGGCAATGAGAGTGATTAGTAATGTCAGATAATAAAATAATCCAAGGAAAATATCCCAAGAATTAATAATTAAAGGAAATAAAGCATATTTTAATAAAATGAAATTTCTAGGTTTTGTGCATAACAACATTAAAATAATGTTATTCTTTCCAAAGCCTGTCTTTGCTTAAGAATACTTTTTCAAAATTTAAAAGATGCATAAGGTTTAGCTCTATGTTCTGAAGAAAATACAGCCTCCTAAGTTTCCAAAACACTTGTCCTGTATAACATAAGAAAGGAAAAACAAAAGTTACAGGATGAAATTGACTTCCCAGTAACAGTATAAATGTGTTTTTAGCTTGTAATTTACTCTGTCTGACAAACTTCAGGTATATAAATGGTTAATTAAAATATACATGCTTAGTTATTTTAAAAGAATATCATATGAATTATAAAATATTGGAATTTAGGAATGAAAATAGAAGCCAGTTAGAATTACTTATACATGTACTACCCAAGTTTTAATATCACTTAAAGTTGAAAAACTTAATTCCTTTAAACTTTCTGGATTTGCATTGCATAGACACTTTGGAATACAATTTAATAAAATTAAAATTATACATTAAGACCTCTGATTCTATTCATTTCTATCATGTATTTTTTAAAATTAGAAAATTTATCTGTGGCCATGTTTTTTATCACAGTGATCTTTTTAAGGCCTGTCAAGTGTACATAAATTTAAAAATTAAATTATAAGTGAAAATGTTGTAAAGAAATGTGTATGGACTTTGGAGTCAGGCAAAAGAACTTTTAATGATTGATTTTATGTCATTAAACTTCTCTGAACAATTTTTTTTTTTTAGTCCATGAAGACAACAATAACTTAATATGTCAAGTTATTCTGAGGAATTGTGTGTAAATGATTGGAACCTTTCAGCAATGCCTACCACATTGAGTATCAATAAGTAGTTACTAGCCATTTTCTCATTGGTATTATCACTATTGATATAACATTGTTGGTAATGAATTGACAGTAGAAAGGTGGACAGGGAAGTAGAATAGCATGATACAGTAAAGGAAAGTGTTAATTCATAGAGTGGAGTGATACAGTGGTTTGGTATATCAGACTTTAGCCTTTCTTTAAGCAGTAGTCTGGAGTTAATTTTCTCTCTGCTGTGTGATTTTTTTTTGTAGTTCCTGTGTCCTTACGGAATCAAAAAGTTGTTTTACCTCAGTCGCTAGATGCTTACCAAGTATCCCTTGCAAAAAGTGTTGTGATTCCAGAACTCAGTGCATTCTCACTCTGCTTTGAAGCAACTAAAGTTGGCAATGAAGATAGTGACTGGACAGCTTTTTCCTACTCGGATACGTCCTTCACGCAACTGCTTAGTTTTGGAAAGGCCCATCGTAGCTACTTTCTAACTATTTTTGGCTCAGAGTGCTTATTAAATAGTGCATTACCTGTCAAGGAAAATGAAGACATGTTCACAGAAACCTTTGAGCAGCTCTGTGTTGTCTGGAACAACTCCCTGGGCTCTGTTGGAGTCTATTTCAAAAGAAGCTATGACACAGTTCCATGTGATTCTACCGTTAGCAAAGTTATTCCTGGGAACGGGAAACTCTTGTTGGGCTCCGATCAAAATGAAGTTGCATCTCTCAAAGGGGACATTTACAACTTTCGGCTTTGGAATTTTACCATGGACTCCAAAGTGCTCTCCAATCTCAGCTGTAATGTGAAAGGGAACGTGGTGGACTGGCAAAATGATTTCTGGAATATCCCAACCCTGGCTCTGAAGGCTGAGAACAATCTGAGCTGTGGTAAGTCTGGGGCACTTTTGTCAGATAACCACTCTTTTCAGTTAGCATTATTTAACGAATATGTTTGCCAACAACAGCAGCAAAATCTTATTTACACACACACACACACACACACAGAGAGAGAGAGAGCGAGTGAGAGAGAGAGAGCGAGTGAGAGAGAGAGAGAGAGAGTTATTCTTAATAAGCTTGTTGAGTTTTTAAAAGTGACCTGCTCCGTGGTTTATTGCATTTTGGTTTGTTTGCACTTAGATACATTTTGTTACAGGCATGGTTATGCAGAACCTTCAGTTTGACTAGTCTCCTGTGCCATCAACCATCACACACTTCATCACCCAAGGGTGCAACAGTTCCACATAAGTTACTGTGTCTGAAATAAAACTCCGCTCGGTGGTTTATTGCATTTTGGTTTGTTTGCACTTAGATACATTTGTTACAGGCCTGGTTTACTCATGCAGAACCTTCAGTTTGACTAGTCTTCTGTGCCATCAACCATCACACACTTCATCACCCAAGGTTGCAACAGTTCCATATAAGTTACTGTGTCTGAAATAAAACTCCTAACACTGAAAAGAACCATAAAAAGTCACACCTGAAGAAGTCACTGTTCCTGATCACACAATTAATACAGTAATTTAGCTGATCTTGATTATCCTGAAATGACATTTCACTTCCATTAGTTAAATAAGTAACCTCCATCTAAATGAACGGTATTTACTCAGCCCATATTAAATATGAAAAATGTGCATTTATGGAAAAATCTGTCATCACTTTAATCTTCGCTGGTTTTCCTCCATTGACTTGAAAATGAATTTATCATTTATTTTGAAAATCTTCACTTTTGGTTGCTTATTGAGAAACTTTATGTAAGATACTATTGGATGTGGCTGAATGTGAACTATTTAAGGAAATAACTCAGAAACAAAAATGAAAAAAAACAACAACAACCAAAACACCCCCAAACAAACGTGTATTGTCCATTGTATTTTCTCTGTGTACTCAGTTAATTCTGGAAGTCCTTATTTTATGACTATTGTTGTTATTACATGCTGTTGAGTTTGAGTATGACTTATAAGGACTCTAGGAATAATAGCTTTGAACTTTGCCCTTTCCTGAGCCAGCCCACCATCTCTGACACACTTGACCCCATCGCTATAGTCACTGTGTCCTCTTGTTGTGGGTCTGTCTCTCTTGCCCTCATCCTCCAGTTTTCCAAGCATGATGTCCTTCTCCCCAGACTGGCCTCTCCTGATGACTGCCCAAAGTCTGTGAGATGGAGTGTCACCATCTTTGCCTCAAAGGAGCACCCCAGTTTTACTTTCTACAGTTTGTTCTCTTGGCAATCTGTGGTATGTTCAACACTCTTCTCCAGCATTGCAACTCTAAGGCATCAGTTCCTCTCCTGTCATCCTTAGTCATTGTCTAGCTTTTAGATGCATAACAAGCAATTGCAAAGACCTTAGCTCACATCAGGTGCAACTTCATGTTTAGAGTGGCATGGTTCTTCTTTAGCAATTGGAAGAGGTGCTTGCCCGCAGATTTTCTCAGTGCAACTTGTCTTCTGACCCCGACTGCTAGTGCCAAGGATGTTAATTATCTATCCAAATAAGATGACATTGTTAACAACTTCAACACTTTCTCCATCTATCATGGCTCTGTTGGCCTGCTGGTGAGGTGTTTTTTTGTTTGTTTTTTTTTTTTAATTTTTTCATTAATATTTGTGTGTGTGTGTGTGTGTGTGTGTGTGTGAGTGAGATCAAATTGGATCTGACTGATACAGGAGGAGATTGTCCCTCCTTCTCCAGCAGAGCATCTGGTGGATTCAAACCATGCTCCTCTGGGATTGCAGTACAGCTTCTTGCCACGAGGCCACCAGAGCTTGCCTTAGGTTTTTGTTTTTTATTTTTTGATGTTGAGATGCATATACTTGATTTTGAATGTCATGTGACTAGAAGCAAGCAGTCAGTAATATATATATATATATATATATATATTTGTTGTTATTGTTATGTACTGTTGAATCACTTGTGACTCATAGCAACCCTATGTACAACAGCCCTAAATATTTCTCTGTCCTGTGCCAATCGTACTGTCTCTGACACTTCCATCCTGATTACCCCAGTCACTGAATCTGTCCTGTGCCAATCGTACTGTCTCTGACACTTCCATCCTGATTACCTCAGTCACTGAATCAATCCACCTCATACAGGGCCTTCACCTCCTGCGCCATCCCTCCACCCTCCCAAGCATGATGTTCCTCTTCAGGAACCGGTCTCTCCTTACAACATGTCCAATGTATGTTAGACAGAGCCTCAGAATCCTTGCCTCCAAGGATCTGCCTGGGGTTCAACCCTTTCCAGGATGAATCTGTTTGTTTTCCTAACAGTCCATGGTACCCTCAATACTCTTCTCCAGCACCACAGCTCAAAGACATCAATTCTCCTTCTATCCTCCTTAGTCATTGTCCAACTCTCTGATGCGCAACAAGTGATAGCAAAGACCATGGCCTGTATCAGATGCACCTTAGTCTCCAGAAAGACACCATTGCTCTTCAGTACTTTGGAGAGGTCCCTAACAACAGACTTTCCCATTGCAATATGTCTTTTAATTTCCTGGCTACTGGTGCCGAGAGTGTTGACTGTGGAGCCAAGCAAACTAAAGCTGTAAACAATCTCAATCTCTTCACCATCCATTATGATGCTGCCAGTTGGTCCAGTGGTGAGAATCTTTGTCTTCTTGACATTGAGCCTCAATTCATATTGGAGGCTGCACTCCTTGACCCTCTGTAGCAAGCATTTCAGGTCCTCCTCAGTTTGAGCAAGCAGGATTGTGTCATCTCCATAACGCAGATTATTGATAGATCTTCCACCAATCTTGATCCCACATTTCTCCTCATAGAGCCCAGCCTCCCGGATAATCTATTCTGCAAACAGGTTGAAAAGGTGTGGAGACAGGACACATCCCTGGTATACACCCTTCCCAGTTTTGAACCATGCAGTATTTCCTTGTTCGGTTCTGATGACTGCCTCTTGGTCCAAGTGTAGGTTTTTCATTAGCACGATCAAGTGTTCTGGGAGAAAAAACTGTCAACAAAAGAAGAAAGAATTGGCCTCTCATTCAAAAATAATTAATATTTAATTTTGAAGGAATATTAATGGAAATTCTTTCCCAACACTTTGAAATAACTGGAAGACTTGAGACCATCTCCCTGGTTTCCTGAGCCTGTCTGTGCCTAGCTTTCTGATCTTAGGACCTCCTGACACCCTGTGTCTCTATGCTGATTCCTTTTCTCTGTATGGTCCCAAACAGTCTTGCAGATGGAGAGTAAGCTAAGAGGGATGGGACTTGAGAGATGGTTGGTTCCTTGTGGTTTGTCACAGACAAGGTCGAGGCTGCAGGACTTTGTTAAGAATGTTCCCTACCATTATTTTACAACCAAAGGTTCGATAGCTATGTGGTGATTCTTAAAGCATTTCCCACTCTCTAGTTCTTCTCATGTCAATCCGTGTTTCATCGTTGGGCTGCCTTTAGCCACTGTAGGCATTTATGTTTGGGTATTTGAATCTAGCTAGGATGCACGCTTCATATAGATTGGAAATTGAAACCTGTCATAGCTGATGTGCAAAAGTACATGTCTCCTGTGTCCTTGTCTGGTCTTTCCACCTGAGAGTCCTCTTCTGTCCTTTAACCCTGTCTTTAAGACTCCTTTCCCAAACCTCAAGTTTCCCAGAGTTCTTCAAATTACAGGTAACTTAGTGTATTTAAGTCTTTGTTTCCAAGTAAGTGATTTCAATGAATCGAGAAGCACAACCTTACAGAGACCTTTTATTTTAGGTTGGTTATTTCTTTTCTCCTTGACTTTTTTTTTTTTTTAAATTGTAGACTCCTTGACATTCCAGGATGACACTCAGCATCCTATTCCAGACACTCAGATATCCTGAACTGAGTTTCAGGGTTAGTGATGGATGAATTTCCTGCTGTTTAATCATCGGCTTTGGGAGTTGCAGAACCCAAGTCACTTATTAACTGACAGGAAATACCTATAACAGAGATTGTATCTCATCTTGTAGCTAAGCAGAGGTTCAATGAATAAAAATATGTATGCTCTTGTTAACATTTTAACCTTTCATTTTTCCAGGACTTTGTAGCCTACTGTTTAGTGTAATGCCAATTTCCAGCAGACTAATAATCAGTCCAGTAACCAATAGGAAAATAGAAAATGTTAGAAAATTCCTCGCATTCCATTGGTCTGACAACGATGGTTAAATATGAGTCTTTATTTCAGGACCAGCTTGTGAGAGAACTGATCACTTTTCCAGGGGCCAATTGCTAAATACATTTTAATATGAAAATAGGTAATAGAACAGGACTGTCTACATTTAATATTAAAATAGGCTCTCCTTTGTTTGAATTGGGAACTATCTTATCTTTGCCAAGTTATATAATTTTTTATTAAAAAGGTTGCAACATTTTCAGAATTGTGTTTTTTCACCTTCTACTTTTCTAATGAACCTCTGGTAGTGTCCTGTGTTACCTGCTGCACTACTAACTGAAAGGTCCACAGTTCGAATCTTATTGCTACTCGACAAGAAAAGATGGACAGTTTCTTGTAGATATTTACAGCCACATTAACCTGACAGCTGGTTGCTGGAAGTTGGAATCAACTCTATAGCTGTGGATTGGTTTTTTAAAAATATTTTTCTAATCATATCTGAAGGGAATTCTGGTGGCTTAGTGGGAGTTGTGCAGCAAAATCAAAGCCATGCCCTTTGAATCCACCAGCTGCTCTACGGGAGAAAGATTGACAATCCCAAGCAACTTACGACCTCAGAAAGCCCACTTTGTGGTTATTTGTGAATCAGTTCTGACTGGACTACATATGATGCACCACCACAAGCATATCTGAGGAATATACGTAACAACAAATTTCAGCCTTTAAGAAAAAATGACATATTTTCGTGCCACTACCTTCTTAAAAAGTTTTATTTAATAGCATTTCTTTT